GCCTTGCTGCCCCTTCTTGGAAGGGCAGCGGCTGGTTTGTCTCCTGCTGCGACGGGCAGGTGCCCACTCGCCCCCCCCCTTCCCCGCTTCCTGACGGGTGGGTCCCCTGCCCCTCTCTGCCCACAGCTGCCTTCAACTACAGCAAGTTCTTCGAGTACATGCGGAAGTTCCAGACGTCGAGCGAGCAGCAGGAGCAGTTGCGCAAAGCTTTCCAGCTCCTGGACAAGGACAACAGCGGCTTCATCGAGTGGAACGAGATCAAGTAACGGCCAGAGGCTTGTGCCCTCCTTCCCCCTGTCCATCCTCCCCCCAGGGCACACACCTGCCCCCCCCCGTGGTGCCCCACCTTGCCAGGGTAGCGCTGGGGGAGCTAGTGCTGTGTTATTGGGCTGGCTGGCGAGAGGCCTGTGCTCCCCAGGGCTAAGCGCTGCCACGGTGCCCCTGGCTCTGGGGTGGGATCCAGGCTGCAGCAGGCCCAGGAGCCGCTCTGGGTGCTGGCCCTGTCTCCTCTCAGCCCATGTTCCCAAGCGTCCGTGGGCATCCATCAGCTCTCAGCCCAACAAGCCCCTCCCCAGACCATCGAACACCACCCTGGGGCACCATGGGCCGAGTCTGGCCCGTCCCCTCAAACCCCACCCGCCGCTCTGCCCCGCCTGGCACCGTGAAACCCTCCTTGTCCCAGGCCAGCTGAGGCCCCAGCCGTCTCCTGAGCCCGGCGCCATCTGTCCCGCAGGTACATCCTGTCCACCGTGCCCAGCACCATGCCTGCGATGCCCTTGTCAGACGAGGAGGCTGAAGCTATAATCCAAGCGGCTGATGCAGATGGGGATGGGAGGATTGATTTCCAAGGTAGGGGGCAGGCTGGCGGCCGGGGAGTCCATAGCACTTGCCCCTGGGGTATCCTCTGCTAACCCTGCCCCCCCTTTCGCTGGAACATGGGGCCCCTTTGGAGCTGCCCTTTGCAGCACTGGGGGGGGGTGTCAACCTTCAGTGGAGACTCCGCTCCCCGCAGCGGCCTCCCGGGGCTGTCTGGAAGGCGCAGGAAGCCAGCTGCAGCGTTCGGTCTCCTACTGCCCCTCTCCCCGGCCTCGAAGCACGGCTCGCCCCGAAACACACGGCAGCCTGGCCCAGCACCCACTGCTCCTCTCCCCCGTCTCCCTGCAGAGTTCTCCGACCTGGTCACAAAGGAGAAGGTCCCCAAGAAGAAGTAAGGCAGGAGGCAGAGGAGAAGGAGCGCCCCACTTCCTGGCACCAGGCTGCCTGCTTTGGGGGCAGCCCCCCGCGGAGGCCGCCGCTGGCCGCCCATGCAGCACTGTGCTTGTCCTGTGTGTTCTGTCGCCTAGACCCCAGTTTGGAGGGGAAGGGGCTGCCACACCTGGCCTGGCGGGGAGGGGAGAGCAGGGGTGGGTACCCAGCGGCATACCAGGCCCAGAGCGGTAGGAAGCAGTTCTGGGCCAGGGCAGGAGGGAGGGCTTGAGAAATAACAACCGCCCCACTGCAGCTTAACCTCCCCAGCACCTGCTCCAGCGGGGACGTGGGGGCAGCTGAGACGCACATGACCAGCAGCAGGCGCATTCGAGATGGTGCCGCTCTCCCTCCGGCCTCCCACCCCGACAGAGTGTCAGGGCCAGCCAGGCCGGGGCTGGGAGCAGAAAGACTGAAGAAAAACCAGACCCAACCTGGCTCCGAGCCTTGGGCCTCCTGCATCCATTCCCTTCCCCCGGCTCCTCCCCTCCCGCTCAGACTGGGCCCAGCTCAGCACCGTCCCGAGAGCCCTGCCTGTGCCGGCTGGCTGCTCTCTGCCCAGAGAAGGGCGAGTTCACCATTGGCACAGCCAATGGGGCCTCCTACCACGGGCAGCAGCTGCACTAGCGCGAGGAGGGTGGGGGTGTGGGGTGGAGAAAGTTCCTATTTGCAGCCGCTGTCCTTGTGCCGTGTCCTGCGTCGCACCTGCCCCTGTCCCTGCCCCGCCGTGCGGGGGCAGGAGCAGCCTCAGCACTTGCATTGCAGCCCTGGTGCCGTTCGCATCCATCGGGTCCGTTTCCTGCCCCGAATAAAGACTCTCTTGTGACCCTTTCTGCAGCCAAGCCCTCTGCTTTCACCTGGCCAGCGCTGGCACAGCTAGGGGCCGGGGGAGAGAGTGCACACCGGCCCCCGAGCCTGGCCCCTTCCCTGCACCCATGGCAGCCTCAGGCAGGAATTCCCGCTGGCCCTAAGGGCTTGGCCGGACAGAGGGCAGTTAGTGGCAGAGAGAAGCCAGGAGGCCTGGCTTCCAGCCCCTGGCTCTGGGCATGGGGAGACCTACTCAGGGTCCACAAACCCCACTGGACTGCTGAGGTGAACCCCTCTACCCCCCTCCCCAGCATGCAGCACCAGCCGTAGAGCTGGGGGTTAAAGGCCCTCTGGACACGTCCCAGGGCCTGGCACCGCTGGGCAGTGCCTGTTCTCAGAGCCCCATGAGCACAGCTCAGCACAACTGCGGCCCGTTCTGAGACTGAGCAGAAGCTGGGCCGGGAGAGGACGGACCAGAGAGGGAAGCTGAGAGCCAGGGAAGGTGCTGGTGCGATGGGGAGAGAGGAGGAAGAGGAGACCCCACGAATGCTGCAGTGAAGGGGTCCGCCAGGCCTAGGGCTGCTCAGTCCTTAAAGTAAGGCGCACGGCGCAGGGCCGAGCTGCCTGCCCTCTGACGCTTGCTTCCCTGCTGCGACGAGCGTGCGCGGCGTGAGAGCCCCGAGCTCTGCTCCAGCAGCCGGGGGAGATCCCCCCCCCCCCCCGCCCCGCCGTGCCAAGCCTGCTAACTTGTTCCAGACTCCCAGCTGATACGGCTGGGTCAGCTCATAATCTCCCCCGCCCTGAGTAGACACCAGATTGAGCCGCAATCTCCCCAAGCCGCAAAACCTCTGGCAGCGTCTGCCCTTCTCCCCAAAGGAGCAGTTCAGCTAATCCCCCGCTGAGAGGTCCTGTTATCCCACCTAATCCACTAAACAAGAGGCTGGTTTTCAGCCTCCTTAATTGGGGATCTTTGGCCTAGCTTATTGTAGCTGCACTGGTCGCATGGCCTTTCTAGCCCCGTTCCTCCAGCAGGGATGGGCCCCACTGGGGCAAACAAGGAGCACGGCAGCGGGGATGTGGCCAGAGCAGGATAAGGTCCGTGTGGAGCCGCCTTGGCTGACTCTAGAGCTGTGGGCGGAGAGGACTCGCCTTCAGTTTAACTTCTCCCTGGTGCAGAACACGGGAGCAGAGATGGGCGAGGCTGGACCCAGCAGCTCCGAGCGGGCGATCCGTCTCTGAACCAGAATTCCTGGGGCGGGGACCGGGCCGGATCTGAGAGATGGAACAGCTGGGGCCCCAGACACCATCACCTGGGGGACATGGGGCAGCATCTCCAAGAACATGGCATAAGGAGCCAGGCCAGCACTCACCAACGGGGTGCAAACCTGTCAGGCCAAAGGACACCCCCCTTCTGCTCGAGCTAAGGGAGCAGCACCGCTCGCTGGCAGCAGTAGTGGGCTGTTAGCCGCCACAGGGGGCGACACCCCCCCTTTGCCATTGGGGTACGCTGCCTCAACACTGGGGTTAGGGTGAGGTAGCAGCAGGTGCAGGAGCACCCCCAGGCTGTTGTCAGCACCAGGGCCCTCGGGCCAGACAGAACCACGGGGCAGGCAGCTCAGGGCTGCTGTCCCCCCCGTACATCCCCAGAGGTGAAATTCCCTGAGTTGGACCAGGCTATGGTAGAGCTGCCATTACAGCCCAGGTGTTCCTGGCTCCCAGCCCTGTTCTTACCCCCACTCCACCTGTGCATGAGCAGGCCCTTGCTCCGACGGTGCTGGGCCTTGCAGAGATGCCCCCTAGAGTCCACTCTAACCCCCCGCTTCCACGCCAGCCCCGAGCCAGGAGCAGGACAAGGGCTGTTTGGTTGCACACAGCTGAGCCTGAGATCTGTCTTTGCTCTGCTACCCAGAAAATGTCTCTGCCCTGCTGTGCCGATGCTGGGAGCCAGCTGAGGTCACTCAATCAGGGTGAACTGCAATCAGAATGGGGCAGACAAACCCCAAACGCTGGTGGATATTCCAATACTTAGATTTACCAAACCAGCACAGAACAGCTTCTGTAGTACCTCACTGGTTGCTTAGAAGTCCAAACAACGCAGTTCCCTTAAAGTCCCCAGCCTCAGGCCTCTGTCCAGACACACCTGTCAAACATATGATGATAAATTCTGAAAATCTTACCTCGTCATATAAAAGACAAGGTTCTCCTGATCCCAAAGGACCAAGCCCCAGACCCAGGTCCAATGATAACTTAGATCTTACCCAAAATACACACTTATAGCCAATTCTTGTTAACTAAGCTAAAATGTATTTAAAAAGAAAAGAGAGAGTGTGTTGGTTAAAAGATCAATATACAGACAGACTTGAATTCAATTCTTGAGGTTCAGACACAGCAGAGATGAGCTTGTAGTTGCCAAAAGTCCTTTTAGAAATAGTCCAATGTCCACATTCAGGGTGACTCCAGTCAGTGACTGGGGATCTCAATCCTTATGGCTCAGGGTTTCCCCCTCTTGAAACCCAAAGCAGATCTGAGATGAAGCAGGATCGTGTCCCAAGGTTTTTATACATTTCCAGCAGCCTTTTGGCCTGAGAAAACAATAGGCTTAACTCTCCTTCTCCCAAACACCCTAGCAATTAGCACAGGGTAATTTATCCATTAAACAGTTCAGATACAGGTTACCACAACCTTCAAAGGGACATAGAGACAATAATACTATTTCCCTCAAGTATCATCACAAATATTAATATTCCTTTTTTGATCTTTGAATCAAAGCTCTAGCAATAGACAAGACTTGTTTGCTTACATCACAAGCCCTGAGCAAACATCTCCCCTTGAGATCTCTAACAATGCAGACTTGCATTTCAAAGCTCTACTCATTTACAGATCTTCCTAACCAGTCTCTAAAGTTCGGCCATGGGTCAGGTCAGTCTGAGTTAATTAACTCTTTCTGGCCCTGTCACCTTTCAATGAGATATTGTATTACACTCATAACGTCACACCTGCTGCACTCCTTCCCCGGGCCGCATGGACCAGAGGGGGCAGCCATGCCCCAAGCCTGCGCCAGCAGACGGGAGCGGGGGTCAGCCAGCAGGAAAGGCTAAAGCCATTGCTGAGTGACGCCTGGCTCCCTCGAGGGAAACATCCCAAAGAAGCACTTGGCCCCGTTCTAGCAGGACAGACGCGGCTGCCTTTCCGTGCACACGACTCCCATCAAAGGGAATAGGAGACCTGTGGGTGAGGACGGAGTCCATGGACCGACCGACCTCCCCGCCAGGGGCCCGGGCTACTGCCTGCAAACCAGACCCGGGAGCCCTGCAGACAGCTGGCTCACCGCCCTGCGATTCAGGCTCCATCTCCACCGAGGGTCCCAGGCAGCCAGCCAGGATAAAGCTACAGAATCTGTTGTATAACTTAGCCCATTTATTCATGTCTGAACTGGGCATCGGCCTAGAAGTTAGCCAACGCTGCTGCTCACGGGACGGAGAGACGCTGCCATGAAAAGGCAGGGCTGAGCCTACGATCCAAAACTACGCCAGCATCGGCCATCCAATTACATTGTGCCCACCGCTGTGGGCCCACCACTGTGGTCTTCCCGAGCTAGCAGGGCTGGGTGGGGTTGCAGGACTTCTGGCCCACTCCAAACTGATCTGGAAGCCCCAACCCGAGAAGGGAACCTGTACCTAGAGCCCCCAAGCTAGCGCCAGGACTGGCTGGGGCCGGCTGGCTTGGAGCAGGTGGAGATCACAATGCCTGGGGGTACAATGATCTCGCTACAGTTCAAGTCACATTTAAAAAACGATGCAAAGAGAACGGGGGAGGGCTGGAGCCTGAGCCGCTGTCCCATCCAGGGAGCTGTTCACAGCAGCTGGGAATCCGGCCCGGGGATTGTAGATGCCCAAGTGAAGCGCAGCCGAACTCCTCCCCCAAAGGGAGAGGCTTGAAAGCGCTAGGCAAGGTGCAGGAGCCGCGTCCCTGCTCCAGTGCATGGCCGCATGAACGCCAGCAGCCGGCGGGGACAGAGTGTCGGGGGCTGCACAGAGCACCAGGGTGAGGGGTAGCACAGAGTGCCGGGGTGAGGGGGCAGCACAGAGCGCCAGGGGCAGCACAGAGCACCGGGGTGAGGAGGGGAAGGTGCCCTGGGATCATGGCCTTGGCCATGCAAGGGTTGACTCCCACCAGGAGGGGAATTGCTCCCCCCCTCACCCCTCCGCCATGCCAGATTTCACATGATGAATTGATTTAGAGCCTGCAGCACCCAGGGCGCATCGGGGAGTTAGCTCTGATTAATGCTGCTGGAACAAAGGGCGGCTGGCGCGGTGTTGCTCTGCCCTGGATGCCAGGGCAGCTCAGTCCTGTCAGAAAGGGAGGGCGGGCGAAGGCAGTTCCACTGGCACTGCGTAGCCCACCCGGTGCCCAGCTGTGAGCTGGCAGTGCCAGCCCCACCCTGCTGCCCGAGGGGAGCAGAGCCCATTGTTAATGAGCAGTGCCCACTCCCATTCTACAGATGGGGAAACCGAGGCACAGAAGGAAAGGCACCTAGCCAATGCTCCTGAGTCAGGACATCCCTCGCTCTCAGACTGCCCTTCCTTTTACGTGGGTAGAGGCCCCTTCTTTGGCGGTTCAGGATGGGGCTGGCTGGGGGAGAAGGGGGGCTATTGGTTAGACAAAGGACGCTCTGGCTCCAAGAGGGACGCTCTCTGTATTGCAGCAGGGACTCATGCCACACCGCTGGGATCTCACCCCCAAGGCTGGCTGGAATTTGGGGACGGACAATCCCGGAGCCAGAGGCGTCGCTCTGCTTTGTAACAGGACTTACCAACTCCCCCATTCCCCGGTTATTCAGGGCGGGGAGTTCGAATGCCGGGGCTCCCTGCCTGGGGGGCCAGGCACTCTCCTGTAGTAGGCAATTCTCAGCAGCAGCAGCAGCAGGGAGGGACGCTTGGAGGGAACTCGGGGACCCAGCGAGCAGTGTTACAGCCCAGAGGCCTGCTCATGGCGCCAGTTCACTCCAGGCTCTGCTGGATCAGGGCTGCCGCGCAGCCCCCTTCTCACGAGCCGTTCTGCAAGCTACGCAGCCCCCGCAGCTGCATTCAGCCCCGTTCGCCTCCCCCCGCCAGAAAGCAACAGCCTGGACTTGTTCCAGGGATGGTCAGTCAGGTGACGACTCTGCTCTGGGTGGGAACCGCCCTGGGGCTGGCAGGTGGCGGTGGGCAGCGTCGCCCAGTGCAGGAGGATGCCTCCCCAAGCAACCAGGCACCTTTCCGTCTGCTGCGAAGCCACGGCGAGGCCTGACAAACTCATTCCACTCATGGCGTAGGCACGAGCCCAGCTCACAGCGTCCTGCCCTGGGCACGGTGGGGCGACAGCTGGACAGTCCAACGGGGCTTTTCCTTCCCTGAGGTCTAGGTCCCAGCTTCACGCTTGACGGAGGGTTTGTTCCCAGTGCAGTGCCAGCGACTCTGCCCCAGCGCCCCACCAGGCAGGTCCCGGCCTGAGCCGGTGCGTCAGTGCCTTCGCTCTGCACCGCCCAGCGCGGTCCCGACCTTCAGCGTCTCATGTGCAGCGTGAGGAGCCGGCTCTGGTGCAGTTCCTGCCACAGGCTCATCTCCAGCTGCAGGTCATGGTTGGCATAGAACACCAGGGCCTTGTGCGTCAGGTCGAAGTAGTGATCGGAGTAGGCCTGGTAGTCGGGGGTGATGAACCCGTAAGCGCTCACCTGGGAGAGGGGGTGGAGTTAGCCAGACCCTGCCAGGAGCCCTGAGCAGCCAGGCACAGATCCCACCTAAAATCCCACTTGGGGAGGGGCCAAAACAACACCCGACCCCCCCCAGCCCTTTAAAGGGAGATGTGGAGCAGAACCTGATCAGGGACCTGCTGCCTGTGGTGTACGGGCCTCCCCTGACCCGCTCCCATGCGTGTGTGGGGGTGTCACCTTCATGAGGGTCTTGCCAGCTCCGTGGGGGGGGGGGCAGATTGTTGCACCCACTGGGAAAGTGCAGATAAGGAGCCCTGCAGCAGCAGCAGCAGCGATGCGCCACGCACTAGGCCTGCATGGCCGGACACGGGGACCGCGCGTGCCACACACCAGGGCAGAGCCATCACCACAGCGATGAGGGAACTACACATGCGCTAACTGCAGCGTGTGGCTCGCAACAGGGCTAACACACCAGGCCCGCGCAGTGCAGCCACCAGCGGGCACGGCGCACGGACCGCAGCGGGACAATGCAACGGCTGGGGCCCAGGCAACACAGGGGTGCACGGCTAGGCACATGGGCCCGACCAGCAGGCTCCAGAGAGAGGCCGTAGGGAACGCAGGCTGCAGGGGTGAAAGCAGACAGCGCAGCCTGCCAGGCGAGCCGTGGCTGCAGTCCAAGGAGTCCAGCACAGGGGCTGGGGAGGGCGAGGAAATGACCGAGTCCCTCCCGTCCTAAGGCTGGCAGTGTGCCCTGCGACCAGCAGATGGCACCTTCTGCCTTGTGGTCAGGGCAGAGTCGCCTGAGCGGGTTATTAGCCGTCCCTACCTCATCGCAGGTGTGGAGGGCAGCGAACAGCATCACTGCCCCGGTGGAGGGACGGTACAGCCTCCGCTGCGGGGGGTCCAAAATGCCGGAGCGAAGGAACCTGCCAGCCAGGAGAGAAGAGGGAAGACTACAGCTGCCGGTGGGGACCGTGCCTTCACCCCACGGAGCACGGGGAATTCACCCGCCTGGCGCTGGGCCAGAGGATCCCCCCGCTGCAGTTACCCGTCTTCTGGCGGATGGCTCCCCTGCGAGCCAGCCACACAGGCCCTGCAGATCAGCTGGGCTCCCTCCCTGCCTCCCCAGAGCTCTGTCTCTGCAGCGCTCGCGGGCTCTGGGGCTGCGGGGCCCTGGATCCAGCCCTCCCCCCATGGCAGTGCAGGGCCCCGGGAAGCACTTGCAGCCAGAGGCTCCGACACAGGATCGCTACCGGTTCCTGACGTAGCGGATAAAATCCGGGTGAAACATCTTAAACTTCTCCGCCCGCAGGTCTTTCCCGAAGTATCGCTCCGGCCTGTGGGGAGGAGACGCGCTGGTGTGAGAATCCACCCGGCCCGAAGGGACTCCCCGCAGGCATGTCTTCAGCCTGCCCAAGCTGCTTGGGTCAGAGCAGAGCAATGGCCCGTCCAGCTCAGCACTCCCACCCCCAGCTCCGCGGACATTAACCGAGACCCAAGGAGCGGGCTTGCGGGGGCCCCTGCTGCCCCTTTGCTGAACGACGGCAGCATCGGAGCAGGCTGCTGCTCCTGCGGCTAGCGACCGGACGCCGGGGCACCATGGGCAGGGAAGCTTGGTCCTGCACCTGGCGGAGAGCAGAGGCCTGTACTGCACAAGAGAGCCTCCATGTCTATCCTGGGCCACTCGCAGAGATCTCCAGGCCTTGGTTTGCTCCACTTTGCCTCAGGAGTCTTCACAGAGCCCTGCCCCCATGCCAGGACCCCTGCCAGCTGGCCTCTGTCACATGGTTGTTAAATAAAGGAAATTCACCCACAAAAAACTTTGTTAAGCAGCACCAGGCTCCGAAATGCTGGGCAAGCAGAGTCGTGGGCTCTCAGCTCCCCCATAACAGACACTGCCCCCTTACCTGTGCCTGATGGGACCTGGCCCCCACTTCCCAAGCATTACATGGATGGCGGGCACCCGGCTCCCCTCGCACAGATCTCCTGGAGCGTGTCACGGACCTTGGGCAGCACAGGAACCAAGCAGCCTGTTTCAAACCATGGACCCTCCTCCCTGCCCCGGGACTCACCGAGCACCCTCATCTGGGCCTCTGTCGACAGGGCGGTGGGTCAGGGCCGCCCGGAGCAGCAGGTAATCTCGGTCGTGGTCCGGGAGGAAGATGTACTTGGTTTCCTGTTGCAATGTGTACGTCGATTAATGCTGTCTTGGCCCCTGGCCCAGCACTGCCTTCCCCACCCTATGGAGCCCTCGTCTGGGCTCTTCGTTTGCTGCTGCCTGACCTAGGGGCGGTGACAAAGCGGCCGTGCTCAGCCCGGGGCTGGGAGAGCCCAGAGTCACCCCTGGCATTCAGTACACCTGGCAGCCTGGGCTCAAGATGGGCCCCACAACAGGGCTAATATTGAGGTGCATCAGGAGAGGCAGCGTGGGGAGGCCTGGGCTGGGCTAGCAGAGGGGCTGTGGGTTGGGAGTGCAGGGCATCGGCAGAGCGGTGTGTGAGATGATAAAATTAATAATATTGCGATGTTCATCCGTAGACCTCACAACACATTACAGGTCAGGATCATTCTCCCCATTGTGCAGACGGTAAACTGAGGCACAGGGCGAGAGGGACTCGCCCGTGGTCACCCAGTAGCTCAGTGGCTGGGGCAGGAATAGAACCCGTCTCCTGAGTCCCAGTCCAGTGCTCCATCCACTAGGCCACACTGCCTCCTTGCTCACGCTGCTCAGACACCCGGGCTCTAGCCAGCGGCATCAGCGTGTGACGGCCGGGGCAGGCGCGTCCGCTCACCAGAGTCTGGGGCGGCTGGCGGAAGCCGTCGCTGGCGTAGTTATGCAGCGAGTTCATCATGGTGTTAGTGGAGAAGACGTAGAAGGAGGTCCTGTGGCCCACGTCTCTTTCGAAGCCCTTGGTGAGGGCCCCGTTGACCCTGCGAGGAGAGGAGGGGTTGAGAGTCAGCGCTGCAGGCCGCTCCGGGGGCCGAGAGCCAAAAGAGCCCGCACCGCCTTAGCGCAGCTTCGGCCACAGGGACGTTCTTCCAGTGCTGGAGAGAGCGTTCCCACAACGCCCTGGGGCTGCTGGAGCCAGAGGGATCTGGTGTTGCTGCAGGGCTTCTCCAGCGAGGGCCACAGATGAGCTCTCGGCCCAGGGGACCAGGCGCCCGCGGCTCCGTCCTGGAGCAGGCGAAACAGCTACCGATGGGGAGCAGAGAGCACCGGCCAACATCCGACCCTGCCCTGCTCACGTGTGTCACCCGCCACCCCCTGGCCAGCCCGACCCGCTTCCTGCTCGCGCCGGGGAGACTCCGGCTCTGCTTGTGCTACGCTCTGCCTGCGGCGCAAACGCAACAGCCCCAGCCCGCGGCCCTCATGCAAACGTCACTCACTCCGTGCACGACTAAACGACCTCCCCTGTGGCCTGCGTGTTGCTGGGGGCCCTGCAGGGGACGCTGTCACCCTGAGTACAGGTCCGATTTCCCCCCCC